GATGCCGACTCTCTCCACTTCTGTTCAATATAGTACTGGAAGTACTTGCAATAGCGATTAGGCAAGAAAAAGATATTAAGGGCATTCAGGTAGGAAAAGAAGAAATCAAGCTCTCACTATTCGCAGATGATATGATACTCTACTTAGAGAACCCAATAACCTCCACCAAAAAACTCCTAGAAACAATAGACTCGTATAGTAAAGTTGCAGGTTATAAAATCAATACCCAAAAGTCCATGGCTTTCCTATACGCAAACAGTGAGAGAGAAGAAAGCAACATGAAAAAAACAATCCCGTTCACAATTGCGCCCCAGAAAATCAAGTACCTAGGAATCAGCTTAACTAAGGAAGTAAAGGACCTGTACAAAGAAAACTACAAAACGCTACTTCAGGAAATAAAAGAGGACATGAGGAAATGGAAAGATATCCCCTGCTCATGGGTCGGGAGACTTAACATTGTCAAAATGGCAATACTACCGAAAGCATTGTATAAATTCAATGCAATCCCTATAAGGATACCCATGACATTCTTCAAAGAAATGGAGCAAATACTCCTGAAATTTATATGGAACAATAAGCCCCCACGAATAGCTAAAGCAATTCTTGGGAAAAAGAAAATGGGAGGAATCAACCTCCCGAACTTCAAACTGTACTACAAAGCAGTAATAATTAAAACAGCATGGTACTGGAACAAAGGCAGAACTGCAGACCAATGGAACAGGGTTGAATACACTGACATCTCCCCTCAATCATATGATCATCTAATCTTTGATAAAGGTGCAAGTAATGTGAAGTGGAGTAAGGAAAGCCTCTTTAATAAATTATGTTGGCATCATTGCACGGCTACATGCAAAAAAATTAGGCTCAGAACTCTGCCTAACACCATGTACAAAAGTAAGATCAAAATGGATTAAAGACCTCAACATCAGACCAGAAACCATAAGGTACATTGAAGATAAAGTTGGCAAAACCCTCCATGATATTGAAGCTAATGGTATCTTCAAAGATGCCACGCCACTGGCCGAGCAAGTGAAAACAGAGATAGATAAATGGGACTATCTTAAACTAAGAAGCTTCTGCACCTCCAAAGAAACAGTGACCAAAATACAAAGACAGTCTACAGAATGGGAAAGGATATTCGCCGAATACACATCTGACAAGGGGTTGATATCCAGGATATACAAAATACTGGTTAAACTCCACAAGAAGAAAACATCCAACCCCATCCAAAAATGGGGCAATGAAATGAACAGAAACTTTCTCAAAGAAGAAATCCGAATCGCAAAAAAGCACATGAGAAAATGCTCTACATCGTTAATCATCAGAGAGATGCAGATCAAAACCACAATGAGATACCATCTCACACCTCAGAGACTGGCCCACATTCAAAAGAACAAAAGCAACCAATGCTGGCGTGGATGTGGCGAGAAAGGGACACTCCTTCACTGTTGGTGGGAATGTCCACTGGTTCAGCCCTTCTGGACAACAGTATGGACGATTCTCAAAAAATTAGAAATTGAGCTCCCATTTGACCCAGCAATACCACTCCTGGGAATATATCCCAGAGAGGCAAAAATGTATAGTCGAAGTGACATCTGCACTTGTTTGTTCATTGCAGCACTCTTTACAATAGCCAGAAACTGGAAGAAACCTGAATGTCCAAGAACAGATGACTGGTTAAAGAAACTTTGGTACATCTACACAATGGAGTACTATGTAGCTCTTAGAAAAGATGAAGTCATGAAATTTACATACAAGTGGTACAATATGGAAAGTATCATGCTAAGCGAAATGAGTCAGAAAGAGAGGGATAGACATAGAAAGATTGCATTCATCTGGGGGATATAAAGTAACAAAGTATGAGATTAATACCCAAGAATAGCTGAGATCAGCACCAGGAGGATTACCCAATAACTTAGAGGCCAGCCGGGAATCCTAGAGGAAAGGGCAGTTCAGATAGAGAAGGGAGCACCAAATAAAGGATGTTTGGAGGATCCTCCCAGGAGGGGAGATGCATGTCGAAAGTAGACTATGGACTGAACATGTTTGCCACTCAATGCCTCTTTTGCAGACCACAACACCCAAAAGGAGAGAGAGAACACAGGGGATTGCCCTGCCACAGAGGCAGGGGGGGTTGGGGAGATGGGGGTGGGAGGGATATTATCCATGGTGCTGAAAAACGGGCACTGGTGGAGGGATGGGTATCTGATCATTGTATAATTGAAACCCAAGCACAAAAAAAATTGTAAATCTACAACTGTAAAAAAATAAATAAAAATGAAAAAAAAAAAGAATGAGATAATAAGATGTCGTGCGGCTGCAAATGCGGCCGCACACTTCCGGGAGCTGGGTTTTATAGTCTCTGGGTCTTGGCCATTGATAGGATTACAGAGCGCTGGGGGTCAGTTGTTGGGTGTGACCCCTGCCTACTGGACGATGGAGGATCTGGGTGGAGGATGCTCAGCCCTGATCCGAGTAGGCTTGGAGATCTCAGCCCCAGGACCTGCATGCCTTTGTTCCTCTGCTGGTACCTTCATGTGTGTGGAGAGTGGTCTCAGCATGGTTGTGGCTGGTTCGGGAGGTCTTCGGCTGCCGGAGCACTGCTCGGGTGGGGAGGGAAACTCAACCCGACCCGCTCCAAGGAGCCCTGGCGAGGACAGTCAGGTGCAGGGGCAGGAGACTCTGCGCTGTTTTCTTCCGGGAGCTGGCTGTCCCGCACCTGGCTCTCCTCACCAGGGTCCCTTGGAGGGGGGCAGGTTGAGTTTCCCTTCCCGCCCCGGGCAGAGCTCCTGTAGCCGAAGACCTCCAGAACCAACCACAACAATGCTGAGACCACTCTCCACGCACATGAAGGTACCAGCAGAGGAACAAAGTCATGTGGGTCCTGGGGCTTAGAACTCCAAGCCTGCTCAGATCGGGGTTGAGCATCCTCCACCCAGATCCTCCATCCTCCAGTAGGCAGGGATCAAGACCCACAGACTATAAAACCCAGCTCCTGGAAGAAAATAGCACAGAGTCTCCTAAAGTAACATGTGAAGTGAAAAAGTATTTTGATAGGAGTGTTTGAGTAGGAAAGTGTATAGAAAAAGTAGGAAGAAAAAATCCACTGGAAAGAAAGCTTCCTAAGGGCCAGAGAGAGCGCTCTAAGAGCTGGAACTCATTCCTGGCCTGTGCAGAGCTTCAGGTCCAGTTCCTGGCAACACCTGTCATTGCCAGGCATTGCATTGGTATCTCCCAGAACTGCCTGAAAGTGCACCGCAATCAAAAGGAAGAAACAAAAACTTTTGGGGGCAAGAGAGAACAGCAGGAAGGGTGCTTGGCTTATATGCAGCCAACCCAGTTCAAAACCCAGAACCCCATATGGTCCCCCAAGCACCACCAGGAGGAATTCCTGAGTGCAGAGCCAGGAGTAAACCCTGAGAATCACTGGGTGTGGCCCCCACCCCTCACTCTCCAAAATGAAAACTTTCTAAGGAAAGAAACCTGTTCAGTAAGGAGTCTGGTGAGGAAAAATTGTCTGAGAATGATTATTTTAGTAGAAATGTCTTAGTGAAAAATCTGATGGTTATAAAATCTATGAAAAGTTTTAAAGCAGAAAAGTTGAGGCATGAATAAATTGAGAAAGGGGGTCATGAGTAAAAGTATAAGAACAGAAATGTCCATTGTGAGAGAAGATCAGAGGAGAAAAAAATTACGCACGTGAAAAGTCTGACAGGAACAAATTCTATTTGGAACGGAGCCCCTGACAAAATCCCTGACATTTGTGTTGGAAAATTTGAGGGTGGTGTTCTGAGGACTTGAGCAATGCAAATTCTGAAGTAAAAACAATATTTTTTGAAAAAGGTATCCTTAAGGAAACAAAAATCTGAGGATACTCTAGTGGATAAAAGGTTTCTGAGGAGAAAATATGACAAGAAACCTCCATTGTTAGAAGAGATCTGATTAGAAAAGCCTGTGAGAATATTCGAAGCAAGAAAAAATATCTAAGCAAGAAAAAAATGTCTTAGTGAAAAGTCTGATGGGTATAAAATCTATGAAAAGTTTTAAAGCAGAAAAGTTGAGGCATGAATTAATTAAGAAAGGGGGTCATGAGTAAAAGTATAAAAACAGAAATGTCCATTGTGAGAGAAGATCAGAGGAGAAAAAAAAATTACACATGTGAAAAGTCTGACAGGACAAATTCTATTTGGAACGGAGCCCCTGACAAAGTCCCTGACATTTGAGTTGGAAAATTTATTGAGGGTGGTGTTCTGAGGACATGAGCAATGCAAATTCTGGAGTACAAACAGTTTGTTTTGAAAAAGATATCCTTAAGGAAACAAAAATCTGAGAATACTCTAGTGGATAAAAGGTTTGTGAGGAGAAAATATGACAAGAAACCTCCATGGTTAGAAGAGATCTGATTAGAAAAGGCTGTGAGAATATTCTAAGCAAGAAAAAATATCTATCTGGGAAGTGATACCTTTATAGTCTTCAGGAGAAGTAGCTAAAGAAAAGTTTACTGGAAAAGTAAGAAATCATGACTACTAAATTGAATTATTTAAAGAAATTAGTGTCTTTTGTATTAGGCACAAATTTCCTGAGTGCCCTCGGGGTGCTTGTGGTGTAGCTGTCTGGCCCCTGTGGAGATGAGCGGCACAGGGAGCTGCTCACGCTGCTCCTGCTTCTCGAGTTCCAGATGTGAACCTGCAGTTGTGACTTCATTCACAGAGGCAGACAACTCTGAACATACTGTGGGGGGCTGAGGAGGAAACACAGCACTCAGGAATATGTACATGTCCAACCTAATGAAATTGAAATGTTATTTGAAACTGGCATATTTCAAAAGAAGTCAAAGTTTGAAAACATATTCAATGTCATTTTCTTTTGATTTGGTCTTTGAATAAGCTCATGAGTGTTGCTTTAAGATCCCAGATCACGTGTGTGGAGCTGGGTGTTACCCAAGCATATAAAATCCCTGTGCAATAAATCTACTCTATAGACTCCAGCAGAAAAGTGGCAAGACGTGGCAAGAATTCACCAGAAAAGAAACAAAAACATGAGCACAGCAGGAAAAGTAAGCACAAATCTTTATTTGGGGAAATGTATTTTTATTAGTATAATATACAAGAAGATATCATTTTAATGTCTCATTTACTCTCATATCTAACACAGAAACAATATAAATAGAGCTACAGCATAAAACATATGCTTTGACAGAAAGTATATATATATATATATATATATATATATATATAACTGCAACTAAATATCTTTAACAAAAAATATATATCTATCCTGGTGTATGAATACACCAGAAACATTGGGCCTAAGAGGGGATGCACGAGGTGGAAACAAGAGTCGTAGGCACTGCCTCAGTTTTCTGATCAGAAGGATGGGGTTAGTTCTGTCTCCTGAGAGGCATGTGTCTTTCTCTGCCTGCCCCCTCCCCTCATTTCACCCATGGGGAAGGACATTTTCAGGTAAATTCCACCAATGTCACTTGAGTTTGAACCCTTCCATTTCATTTTCCTTCAGTAGACTCAGAAGCAATTTTAACGGAGAGCAGGTTTAATTTTATGTTTGATTCTGAAGTGTCCCTCAGATATTTCGAATGGTCCCAGGTGTGCCCTAATCACTGTTGAATGGGCCTGATGGAGCGTAGGGAGAGAGATGGAGTTCTATGGGCCTGTGAGTCCAGTGGTGTGTGAAGGCAGCCCCGAAAAGGGGCACTAAGGGATGAAACGTGTATGGCTAGGGACAAGTTCACTGCCTGCTGTCAGAGAGTGGGCAAGAAGCGACATTTGAACTGCCTTGTAAAGGGAAGGTAGGAGATGGACCGCGAAACTTGTGCAGGGCCAGGGGAGAAGGCAAAGAAAATGGGGATCTGGTTTTGCTTTATTAACGGTTTGGTTTGGAGGCCACACCTGGCTGCGATCAGGGCTTGCTTCAGGCTCTGTTCTCAGGGATCACAACTGGCGGAGCGCTGGCGTCCAACGGGGCACTCGGGGCACTCGTGCCGGGCACGTGTAAGGCAAATGCCTTCCCCGCAGTGCTATTCCTCCAGCCAATCTGCATTTAGAAACTGGGGAGAAGGTCCCTGAGCCTGAACCGTAGTCTCTGAGGGTGTTGGGCATGTGTTATAGGACGTGACATTAAGAAACTTGAGGCCATTTATTTTATCCTTTGGACATCGAAAGCCATGAGGAAAAAAATTTTTCATTAAAATTTTATTTTTTTAATTTTTGGGTCCCACTGAGATGGTTGGACTGGAGAGATAGCACAGCGGGTAGGATGTCTGCCTTGCACGCGGCCGACCCAGGTTTGATTCCTCTGTCCCTCTCAGAGAGCCTGGCAAGTTACAGGAGAGCATCCCCCCCTCCCCCCTTGCAGGGCAAAGCCTGGCAAGCTCCCTGTGATATATTGGATATGCCAAAAAAAGTAACAAGTCTCACAATGGAGACATTACTGGTGCTTGTCCGACCAAATTGATGAAACAATGGGAGGACAGTGCTATAGTGCTATCTATACTATGAAGTCTTAATTTCTCATATTAAATGCATTGTGATGCTTAAGTCTTTCATGAGTAACTTGTAAATATAAAGTTACAAACGTTTCTAATAAAGTTGAGAATTATAATTTAAATGTGTTACTCATTGCAATCATTATTTTTATTAGTACCAAAAATTTAAGTCTGATGAAAACTCCATGAGAAGAATTTGATTCAGTGGACCTTGAAATGCCTTTTGAACTTGAATGTGAAATGTCTTACAAAGGGAAAAGTTATCTGAAATCATTGGAATCCAAGTTAAGCAAACCAAGGTCAATATGTGATTATGACACAATCCAGAAAATTTCAGTAGAAACCCTCTAAAATAATTTCTTCTCCATACAAAAGTAAATACTTTAAAAATTGATAGTGACCAGCTTTAAAAGAATTATTACCTAAGGACAAAGTTACTTGGTTCAAAGTATTCGGTGGATTCATGTTTATTTGTACCATGTGTACACTGTTCATCAATTTCCTCGAGCAGGCACCAGTAACGTCTCCATTCATCCTAGCCCTGAGATTTTAGCAAGTGCCACATTGGAGGCTCTTTCGGGGTCACGGGAATGAGATCCATTGTTACTGGGTTTTGCCATATCGAATACGCCACGGGGTGCTTGCCAGACTCTGCAGTGTGAGCAGTATAGTCTCGGTAGCCTGACAGATTCTCTGAGAGAGAGAGCGAACTGGACAATAAGAGGTCACGCGGCCACAAATGCACGTATACACCATGTGCACAAACTGATGTATATGGTCACGAAAGTTACTAGAATTGTTTCCAGTAGTTTTATTGTGTTGTCACACAAGGTGTTACCTTCCATAACTCAATGTCAAGATTCTGAGACTTCTGTACACACTGTAGTACAGCAGAGGTTATAGGAGTTTTAGCAATAAGATTCTTGGAAATCATGTGGTTAGCCAATTATGAATTTCATTTTCCAATTTTTTTCATTCATTACAGGTTGACATTACAATGGCATATTACATTTTAATTGAATTGATAACAAAGATAAACATCAAAGTTAGGAAAGTTAGGAAAGAGATAAATCCACTAAAACTCAGTTTGGTCTCCAAAATCCTTTCTTTCAAAGTATACATCAAAAGTCTTGGTGAGAGTAATAAATAAATAAATAAATAATAAATAAATAAATCACAGGCAACCAATTCTAACATCTCAGGTAAAACATCAATAATGAAACACGCCATTTACATTCAGCTTCCTACATTCTATTTTCTGCAAATGCTAGAAGTCGTAATACTACTAGAACATATTTGAGGATTTGGTAAACTGATAAAAGCACTTAGGAAAGTGCTTGGTGCATGGAAACTATTCAATAAATGTTACTCAGTGTTGTCATCATTTCTATTATTGTTCACTTTTTTTGGTTCCTCTCTCACTACAGTAAAAGGCAGGCTCTGTGGATGTAATGCTCTATCAGATTCGGGCAGATGGGCTGGAGCCATAACAGAGTGAGTAGGGCGCTGCCTTGTATAGAACTGACCCAGGTTTGATCCCTGCTACCAGACACAGTCCCCGGAGCTAGCCAGAGAGCCAGAAATAAGCTCTGAGCTCTGCTGGGTGTAGCCGCAAAATAAATAAAAACAAAACAACCCAAAAAAAGACAGCATAGCAGAAGCACAGAACAGAGCAAAAGAGTGAGCAGTCACTGAATGTAAGCAAAATAACGGTGATCTGGAGCTTCATATCAAGTCTACAGCTGTGGATAAATGACATATCCTACTGCTTTACATGTTTTTCTTTCAAAGTGGTTTGTGTCTATGGACTTACTAAGCACCTGGCATATAATAAATATTCCACATAAGATGATTGCTAAAAACACAGTCCCTAGATTAGATGTGGGGAAGGACTGGGATCGTCCACTGTTTACTTGCAGGTCATCAAGTGCAAGGCCGCTGTGCTCTGGGAGCTGAAGAAGCCGTTTGCCATCGAGGAGGTGGAGGTCGCACCCCCTAAGGCTCATGAAGTTCGTATTAAGGTAAAACGTTTCACCGTTTCTGTTTAAGTTTAGTTTAAAAAAGCATTTCCGAGGATGAGGAATGAGACTCTGTGGTGATGTGCCCTGCCCCTTGTGCGGACCTGGATTTGAGCCCCAGATCCATGTAACCCCTGACATCACCCCCAAGCACTACAACAGAAACAATTTTCATACAATAATAAAACTGGAAATAACGAAAATTTCATTATTAGATGCTTTTGTGGCAGGGCCTCCCAAGCCATGCTCAGGAGGCTGGAGGTGCCACAGTGAGTCTCAGCAACCGAATCTCAGTTCCATGCAAGGCTGGAGGACGCAGTGGGGCTGGGACCCAGCTGTGCCGGGAATTATCCGAGCTACCTGCCATGACGAGCTCCCTGATCTCAGGGGATCAGGTGGCCCCAGAATTGGAGCACCAGCCAGGTCCCTGCCAAGCCTGCAGCCTGACCACTGTAGTAGCTCCTAGTACTAACCCCACTAAGAGATGCTGTTAATTTAAATGGACATTCTGGTATGAATTAAGGAAACATATAAATCGTTATTTAGGAAACATATAAATGGTTTAATTTTTATTTAAAATAAACAAAGGACTATATATAGTACAATCCCAACATTATTTTACATGTTTGGGCAGGAGAAAACAAAGTGCAAAGGGACGTGTGTTAAGATTTCCAAATGAGGTACATTAGAGGGTAGGACTTGCCTTGTTTTCTTAGTGCTAATCTGCTTTTTCTACTTTCATTAACAAGGATGTATTCCTGTGTGTTGTGGGACTTAATTCTGAAGCAATCATTTCACAGGTTACTCAAAAATATTTAATTCCAGAAAGGAAAGTTTTAGGTTAAATAATCTTGGGACAACATGGACCTTTTTGTCTTTGGGAGGAGAAGTGATGGTTAAGGTAATAATAATCATGCACTCCCGTCAAAAAAAAAAAGCCTCTTAAGGCACCCGATGTTAGGAAAATGGGTCTGTTCCACACATCCAAGGACTGTCGCCTGCCTTCACTGCAAGTCCAGTCCCCCTCCTCCCCTGCAGATGGTGGCCACGGGGATCTGTCGCACAGATGACCACATCATCGCCGGCTCCCTTTTCGCACCACTCCCCTTGGTGCTGGGCCACGAGGGGGCCGGCATTGTGGAGAGCGTCGGAGAAGGCGTGACGAGCGTCAGACCAGGTACAGAAACTCCACTGTCTCCCAGTCCTCCAGCGCCCACCAGCCCACAGGAGATGGGTGGACACAGAGGTCTCACTGCTGAGTCATGCCCCAGGGCGCCCAGCCATGTAGGAGGGCTGAAGCAGGGCCACTGTGACTGTCCCAGCCAGGGCTAGAGGGCTGGGGACAACGTCATCTCTCTGTGTGTGTTACTCTCCTCGCTTTATACAGACACAGACACAGATACAAACAGCTCTTTCCATTTCAGCACCATGGTTGAGGATACTGTGGAGCAAAGTCCACCACCTGCCCCTCCCCAAGGTCACTCCAGCCCCCACCCCCCCTCCCTATCTCCTCCCCAGCCCCTCCCCAGATTCATCCCCACCCCAGCCCCCAGCCCGTGCCCAGCCCCCTTCATATCCCCCCCACCCCCCACCCTGGGAAACTCATTTCTCTCAGGTTCTGTTCCTTTGGGCACTTGTAACTTCTTCACTACATTTCTTTATATCCCAGTATGAGGGAAATATGTCTGTTCCTCTTCCGACTCACTTCACTTGGCATGCTAATATGAGATGAATATTTTCAGAGGGAAAGGATGAATAGACAGAAAATGTCTGTACCATCATTGTCTCCACAGAAAGTTTGTGTATTAAATGCTATGCCCAAACCTTCCTCTGAGTTGTGGATATAGAAAAGATTACGCTTAATTTTAAAAAATTAGAATGAATTTAGTAAGTCTGAACTACTACCTATTGGTAATTTGTGTACAGACATAACAAAATTAATGATATGGGTTGAATTCCTTAGTATTGCCTTAGTTAGCAATAAAGTATCAGTGACACCCTTACTTTCCATCATAGCAAGAAAAATAGATTACTCACAAATTATCAGCTATATTTGAAAATCAATTATACCCTAAAAGAAAATGACAAGCTCATTATTAAGACTTGGAGTTTTCAAAGGAATTTCTTTGAATTCTTCTTTGAGAGTTTTCCTTTAAAAAGCTCCTAAGTGATTATTTTGTAATGAAGACAAGCACAGTTAATATGCTAAGTTAAGAAATAGATGTCAACTTCCCCTTTTCTCTATATTCCAAACTGTTCCAAAATGCATTACTTGACAGAATGAAGGTGACTATTTATAACCCAGATTCATGCCAGCATCAACTGAGGATAGTCCTCGCTATCACTGTGTTAAATGGGAAGCTTTGTACAAAACCATGGGAACAAGCACAGGAGAAAAAAGATTACTCAGTGGAGCTCTAAAAAATTCATGCCTGTTGCCAGAGCAGGAACACAGCAGATACGGCAACATGGATTCAATCTCTGGCATCCCATATAGTTCCCTAAGCCCTAATGCTGCCAGGAGTAATTTCTGAGCACAGAACCAGGAATCACACCCTGAACATCGCTGGGTGTGGCCAAAAAATAATAATAAATTCATGCCATTTCCCCCTGCCCCTTGGGAGTTTTCAAGGGCATGGCAAGCCCTCCAGGGAACAGTGGCAGAGTAAGGACCAGTCACATGTGGCCACATCCTATCACTACAGACTTTGCACAACCACAGACCCCGAGAAGCTCTGAGCACACCATAGTCCTTGCTGGGTAAGCCCTGAACAAGGGTCTCATTTCTCCCTCTCCAGGTGATAAAGTCATCCCGGTGTTCCTTCCCCAGTGTGGAAAGTGCAAGGTCTGCAAGCACCCAGAAGGCAACCTCTGCTTGAAAATTGAGTAGGTTTCCAATATTCAACCCCCCAGAGAAAGTAAGTTTGCTTGTGGGGAATGCTCCTGTCTCACAGCCTGTGTGTATTCCTAGCGTTTTCAAGCCGAGTGGGACCATGCAGGACGGGACCACCAGGTTCACCTGCAGAGGAAAGCCCATCAACCACTTCATGGGCACCAGCACCTTCTCCCAGTACACGGTGGTGCAAGAATGTGCAGTGGCCAAAATCAATGCTGCCTCCCCGCTGGACAAAGTCTGTCTCATTGGCTGTGGGTTTTCTACCGGGTACGGGTCTGCCACCAAAGTTGCCAAGGTAGGAATGACATGGGTAATAATGCAGTTACATTTGGATTATCAGGAAACAGAAGGAAAGCAATTAATCACAGGATCATCAGAGCATAACCACCTCGATTTCCAGAGGCTCTCCCTGGCCCCCGTAACAGCACGGGTATACTCACAGATTCGGGATACTGATCATGACTGGAAACAAATGATCTCTGGGAGATTGGCATTAAGAAAGTCTCAAGAAGTAATGACCTTCAATATTATTATAATCTTGCTCTCTATGGGATCACTAAGCATTAGCGTCACTTCATGGTCCCTCAGGCCCGGGAGGGGCTGCTGGTTTCTGAGGCAGCAAAACTGCAGGAACGGAAGGTGCCAACTCAGAGGAGCTTCTATTCCACATATGCCAGCAGAATTAAAATCAGTAATTGAGCACAAAGCCTCCCCAGAGCACCTCCAGGTCCAACAGCACCAACACACACCCCCACTGGGTCCTTTTCGGAAGGTCAGATCAGTAAACCAGCTCGCATTTATTTCATTAATTAGGGAGGTTCACCGTTCCCTTTTCTCCCTGCCACACTCACATACACATGCACATACGTATATAGCCACACTCACAAATACACACTCCAGAAGCAGTATATTACAAGGACAAAACTTAAAGTCTTCTCTTTCTGAGGGTTGGGAATCCAACCGTATTTCTTCACTTTGTAGAACTGAGGCACATACAGTCATTTGCCCCAAAACTCACAGTTAGTTAGCATGAGAACCCATCTGTGAAAGCTCCTGTGCACCCTAACCCTAATCCCTCTTTACCTGCACCTTTAGGCCTCACCCACATGCTTTTTCGAAGAGGTTAACAGTAAGTAGAACTCCAGAGGATGGTGACGTGAGATGAAAAGAATATTTATCCACACCAATGACTAACAAACTAATGACACAGTTTACTAAAACCATCCCTCGTCTCTTGGCAGTTTAATGGAGTTAAACTTAACCACTTGAATCCCCAAGTGTTTGCGGACAGGAAAAAGTTCCTATGTGGCTGTCACATTTGTTTCAACAAGTGACTGGACAGCCTCACACAGCCCCAACGCCAAGGGTACTTGTAATTAAAATCAGGACCACTCCCCACTACATTCCTCTTCAACATGCACGTTGGAAAGGAGGGATGAAGACCCTTCAGGTCGCATTGCTCTCAAGCTGTCTCTTAGATTATTACAGAGACCGCCTCTCTTCCACTGACATGGCAGGCTTGCTCCAGGATGAGAGTAACTCTACCTCCCCTAACTTCTGCTCTGTGTGTGGCCACAGCTACTGGGCTTTCCAAAGCCCACGGGGAAGACTGAGGCTAATCTGTCTCCCAGCACAAAGGTCCCAGCACATCCAAGATGGTGTTGGTGTTTGTGCCATGCAAGCTAGCTGCTAACATCATTGAAGTTTCCTCGGGGAGATCCCTCACATTTAGAGCTCAAATACCATTCAGTTTGGGCATTCATAAGAGTACTCTAGGGCCTCACCTGTAGGGGTTCTAGTTGAATTGCCAAGGGCTCAGACCTGAGCATTGATGTTTTAAAGCTCCATAGAGGAGTCTAATGTCCAACAAAGCCCTAGAACCAACGATATAGTTCAAGCTACCTAAAGGCACAGAAGTCTATGGAGTTTTTGACAGCAGGCTGCAGAACCTAAGTCTTAGGTGCTCCTGATTGTCGGGGTCCTGGCTATTGGACCCCAGGCAAACTGGAGTATAATCTCTGGAAGTTGATTAAATCCTTTAGGGATTTAATCCCTAAAGGGGAGGGAGTGGGTAGGGGAGAAGCCTCTGCCTTGGCCCTCTACTGGTGGTCAAGCAGTTCTCCATTTATTAGCCCCTACCAGGGGTATACTTATAGGTATACTAAGTGGGGTGAGGAGGGAAATCTCACATACAGCATGCTTCTCTCACTTCTCTTGTATAGAATGCTTCTCTCTTTGGGCTCCTATAGATCTCAGTTAATGATTTACATATCCTGCTCTTAGGGCTGGGCTGGGCAGGTGAGCACAGTCATGTCCCTCATCCTCAACCAGAGTGCCTGAGTGTGAGGAGTGCTGGAGTGGGCCTTTGTTAACAGGGCCGCCTTTTGCTTCCAGGGCAAGGGGATTCGGTCAAAGTCTCAGGCTGGGTGCTGAGAACCCAATACTGATGGCAGGGTAGGTATTGGCATTTAATTCTACTTGGGAACTTTCCATCAATCATTTCTTAACTCATCTTTGTTTTCTGTAAAACAGGTCACTCCAGGCTCTACGTGCGCCGTGTTTGGTCTTGGAGGAGTCGGCCTGTCCGTTGTGATGGGCTGTAAAGCAGCGGGGGCAGCCAGGATCATCGGAATAGATATCAACAAAGACAAATTTGCAAAGGCCCAAGAGGTGGGTGCCACCGAGTGCATCAGCCCAAGGGACTTCCAGAAACCCATCGAGGAGGTGCTGAAGGAGATGAGTGGAGGAGGTGTAGACTTTTCCTTTGAAGTCATTGGTCGGATCGACACCATGGTAAGAACCAGGAAATGCCATGCAGCTCCTTAACGTTGCCTGTCCAAGCAACTAACTCTCAACCAAACCATCCCAGGATGGACCACTGAGTATAGTTGAGAGTGGGTCCTATAAAAACAGTGGACATGAAGAAAGAATGAAGATAGAACTGCAGTTAGGTAGTACAATAACTGATTCAAAGTACTGAGTTCACAATGTTCACTTAATGAAAAATGAAAAATGACTGAACTCACTGATTGGCTGAGAGACATGTGATGAAAAGCATTACCTTTAATTGTAGAACCAGATTCTCTGGATATTTTTATGTTTGTGATGCTAGTTTTAAATAAAAATTAAGTTCACCAAAATTTGTTCATCAATTGTCTCACATATAAAACATTTTCTGGGTATGTGGATCACCTGTTGAGTGATCCTGCATGTGTGAGCACTAAGTTAAGTTCCCAGCATCATTGAAACAAAGGCCAGACAGTATCTCCTGGATATTTCCTACTGTCAGAGATACTGGCTTTAGAGAACAACGGAGAACAAAGAATGCTCTCCTCTCTCCACACACCCAAAGTCCATCCCAGTCAGTGTGACATGTTCATTTTATCCCAGATGTCTGCCCTGATGTGCTGTCAAGCCTCGTATGGAGTAAGCGTCATTGTTGGAGCTGCTCCTAACTCAGAGATGCTTTCACTGAACCCCATGCTGCTGCTGACAGGACGCACATGGAAAGGAGCTCTTTTTGGTGGTATGTGGTTATGGGCTGGAGCAATAGCACAGCAGGTAGGGCATTTGCCTTGTATGTGGCTGACCCGGGTAAGATTCCTCCGTCCCTCTCGATGAGCCTGGCAAGCTGCCAAGATGATCCCGCTCGCAAGGCAGAGCCTGGCAAGCTCTCCGTGATGTATTTGATATGCCCAAAACAGTAACAAGTATCACAATGGGGATGGTACTGGTGCCGGCTCGAGCAAATCGATGAACAACGGGACGACAGTGAACAGTGCTCCAGTGCTCCAGTAGTTTAGATGAGGGCTGAATTTTATAAGAAAACTTCAGGACTTCATTCTCTTAATAAGTCACAAGACCAGGGGCTGGAGCAATAGAGAGCGTTTGCCTTGCACACACCCAACCCAGTTTCAATTCCCAGCTCCCCATATGGTACCCAAAACATCTACAGGAGTGATTCCTGAGTTCAGAGCCAGGAGTAACCACTGTACCTCACCAGGTGTGACCTGAAAAGCAAAAGAATAAAAAATGACAATACCAGTTTTTAAAAAGAAACATGGTTTAAAAAATAAAATTTAAATAAATAAATAGATAGATAGATAAATTCCACCCCAAATCAACTAGAGCTGGAGTGATTAACACAAAAGGTCATAAGACAGACCAGCCTGGCATCCCCATAAGCTAACGAGACTAATGTCACTCACACTGAGCTCTGGCATCAGACGTTTCAGCACCAAGTGAGCCCAGGAAACACATCACTGTAACCCATGTTCACACTCATCACTCAGATCTGTGCTGAATTTGCTCCTTGACTCTGGGAATAACCATGTCTGCTATATTTTCTCTGTAAGAGGACAAATACCTAAGGGTCTAGGTTGAGGTTATGTAGACGAATAAGAACTAAGTCAAAGCACCAGAAAAGGGTATTTGAGCAGATTATTTATCAGCTTCAACAACAGGAACATGAGGCTTGTGGCACCTTTTATAAACTTCATTTAAATTCTAGTGGAAATCTTCCTTAGACCTTCTACACTCATTCCCCTCTCTGAATCTAACAATGGTATCATTTCACCAAAACAGGCTTTAAGAGTAACGATTCTGTCCCAAAACTTGTTGAAGATTTTATGGCTAAGAAGTTTCCAATGGATTCATTAATAAGCCATGTTTTACCTTTTGAAAAAATTAATGAAGGATTTGAGCTGCTTCGTTCTGGAAAGAGGTAAACTATTCTGGACACTCAGTCTACTGAACGCTAATCATGAGGAAGGAATTTAGGAAATAGGAGGTATCTAGCCTCTCAGATATGCATGTTACATCCTTCTTACAAGGCAGTTTTGTTATTTGCATCAGAAATTCAACCAGAAAACTTATATCCTTTGTTACAGCAAATTTATGCCTGGAAATCTAGTCTGCAAGGATAAAGAAATGTGAGTGAACATATCTTCTCTCAAACATTAGTTATTATAACATAAAATATAGAAACCAGAAAATTCATTATTAAGGGACGGTTAAGTAAATTCAAGAAAAATCAATGATGCCATTTTTAAAAAGTTATCCTGGGTTCTAGAATTGAAAACACAAACTCCTTTCTACAATACAACCCCAAGTCTTTGATATGAGTGTATAGGAGAAACTATGTGTGTATAGGGAAAAGTTGACAGAAATTTCAGGGCCGGGAGAGAGTGCAGCAGTTAAGGCACCAGCAAGGCATGCACCCAGCCTGGGTCCAACAGCACCACATGTTCCCAGCACCACCTTCCCCTGGAACCATCAGCTGCAGCTCCTCAGCTGTGGAAGTCCAAAGCACCATCAGGTAGTCCAGGAAATCCCTGGCACACAGGACCGAGCAGCACCACATCTCAGGCCTTGAGATTAACCACCTTCCCTATCAGCCAACAATTGCCCAGGCCTCCTAAACATGACTGGGCAGCCCCCCACCTGAAAAAAACATGAAAATACCAGCCTAATTATCTCTCTGCTGGGGTTATGTTTCTGATTTTCCCAAGAATAAACTAAAGATAATAAATTAATTGTTAGAGAACAATTCAAACACCTTTACTATCTGCTTCTAGACTTCTCAAGAAGTTCTTTATCGCAACTGGGGTCATAGTACAGAGGGTAGCAAGTTTGCCTGACACGGTGTCCCGAGGACCACCAAGAGTAATTCCTGAGTACACAGCCAGAAGTAACCCCCTAAATATTGCTGGGTGTGACCAAAAAAGCTAAAAAAAGAAAAAAAATTCTTTATCAAGCTCTATTAAACATTTAAGTACCTTATAATAGACCATATTCATATGGACTTTATTAAATTTTCATTCTTTCAGTAAGGTTACCCGGGTTACCCATCAATTATAATTTGTGCAACTTTGTATTTAGCTACTGCAGCCACACTCAGATGTATGACCTGGAGCAAGGTACTGCTCTCAGTATCTCAGTGTCTGACCTCTGAAGTGGAAATAATAGTAGAATCTCCTTGACAGCACTTTTTTGAGTGATGAAATGTGTGACCAACCGCAAGAACTCATTACATGTCAGCCCACTGAGCACCATGGCTCTCACGCTTTTAGTGACGATGCTAGTATAGAGCGAAGCCTAACTGCATCCATGCTCAGGTTGTGTGATTGAGCTAAAGATTGGACGGGACCCAGGAAGGAGGAAACCAGGAGTCACAGACGGTTTTTGACCTTGGCAGACGAAAGGGGGGAGTCCATGCCATCTTCTCCTGGGAAATGCCCCTGGAAGACTCTGCAACCTCTCAATGTTAAACACTTCATATTTTCTCTTTCCTGTTCAGCATCCGTACGGTCCTGACGTTCTGAGGTCACATGAAGGTTACCTTTGCTGGGAGCAACATCCCAGCCCTTCCACCATGAGGAACATCCTCTGAATGACACCACTAACTCTGGTTTTGAAAGATGCCGTCATCATTCACACATGTATATTTTGCAAAATCAATGATTGTTGTGGAATCATAGTAAGAAAATGTGTGAGACCTTACTTTGTGAGGGCTAGATAAAAACGATCAACTTCTTTCTTAGCTGTTCTTAGTTTGTCATTTTTCCCTTTGAGCAAAGATGTTTCTCTTCACCTGTTGCATTTTGTTGTATCTTTGCTGCCCTATGTCCTGATGTTAACCTACTTGCTCCCGTAATCAAGATGAACAATTGTATTTGAAACTTTCTGCTTCTATTTCCATTGTCTATGTTTTCTTTTCTATAAATCTACCAAAGCCTGTAGGTATCGGTACATCTAGGGAAGGAGACATTCAGATTTATTAAATGGAGAGTGTCTGAAACTTCAAATGCAATCAATTTTTTGGCAAATATGTCACTTTTTCCTATGGTAGAAGGGAGTATCTATGTTATTTTTATACTATTTGAATGGGCTGGAGCGCAGCAGGTAGGGCATTTGTTTTCATGTGGCTGACCCGAGTTTTATTCCTCCATCTCTCCTGGAGAGCCTGGAAAGCTACTGAGAGTATCCTGCCCACATGGCAGAACCTGGCAAGCTCCCCACGGCATATTCGATATGACAAAAAAAGTAACAAGTCTCACAATGGAGACTGGTGCAAATTGATGACCAACGGGAGGACCATGCTACAGTACTACTATTTGAATGAGTAGTATAAAATGAATATGTAAATCACCTCTATAAACAAACTGCCCCCTGTGCCATGTAATCTCATCAATGTCCAAGATTCAGAGACTATAAAACAAAGCTCCCAGAAGAAGCGACACAGTATTTCCCTCTCAGAGCCGGACAAGCTACCGAAGGTATCCCGGCCACACAGCAGAGCCTGGCAAGTTACCCGTGGTGTATTTGATATGCCAAAAACAGTAACAATAATGGGCCTTATTCCCCTGACCTTGACAGAACCTCCAATATGGCAGCATTGGGAAAGACTAGTAAGAAGAGGTTGCAAAAATCTCAGGGCTGGGATGAATAGAGACATTACTGGTACCCTCTCGAGTAAATCTATGAACGATAGATGACAGTCATACAGTGATACAGTGATAATTAAACCTGTAAATAACTTTCAAAGATCATGTCTCATGGTGCCAAGACCTTGTATATATGTATGTATGCCTACCTAAGTATGGCAATTCTATGTTGATCTACAACTAAATCTTTTGCCAGTAGAGACACCAGAAGTTAGCAGTAAAATGTGCTATCATCTCCCTGTGGATTAAAATCTTCCTCCAAGTCTCTCCTCCCATCTCTACTTCCCCGTCTCTTCCATATCATTCACCAGATTCCAAAACTTGGAGGCCAGAGTGATAGGACAATGGGTAGGTCACTTGCCTTGCTCTCAGTTCCCATATGGTCTCCTGAGCCCACCAGTAGTGATCCCTGAGCCCAGAGCCAAGAGTAAGCCCTGAGAATCGCTGCTTATGGGCAAAGCACCAAAAATATTCCAAAATTTGGGCAGGGGGAAGTAGTTCAAGGGCTGCATACATCCTCAGTTCCTCACGGTCCCCAAAGCACTACTATGTGTGACCCTAAAACAAAACAAAACAAGAAAACTGTCCTCCTCTGCCTGTAGCCTGTTCTTATTAACTGAAGCGGGTAGGGCGTTCGCCTTACAAGCGGCCAACATGGCCGACCCGAGTTCGATTCCTCCGCCCCTCTCGGAGAGCCCGGCAAGCTACCGAGAGTATTCGATATGCCAGACACAGTAACAACAAAGTCTCCAATGGAGACGTTACTGGGCCCGCTCGAGCAAATCGACGATCAACGGGAGGGCCTTTACCTTTTACCTTTTACCTAATACTTTTCTAAACAATTCCCCTGAGCACAGAAGTTTATGTGTGTGAAAATGTACTGAAAAAGTAAACACACAGGTTTAGGTAATCGGTGATGACACAGAAGATTTCCTCCTCAATGTGTTCATTTTCTATTACTCCATAAGGTAAACAAGGAAGGGGTGAGCAGACAGCACTGCACACCCATACCGGCCACGTCTCAATTCTCGCCACCTCTCGGGCTGCAGCGAATTCACACCAAATGTTGGATGCTAAGTAATGGTGCCACACGTGGGCATTTCCCAAATTGCTCCAGGAACACAAACTCTCTGCGTTCATTCAACGCTGCTCCTCCCTCGCGCTCTGTGTCTGCTCGTCACCCTCCCCGCCTCCCCCCAGCTCGTGGGCTGCAGACCTGAGAGGTCTGCCAACTGCTTGAGCAGTTTTTCCTTTTAAATAATGTTTATTTCATCTTTTGCCATGGAATTTAACCCCGCCTTCCCCATCTGAAGGGAATCATTTCTCCCAGGCGGGAGGAGCTTGTGAATGACCAGGCCTCTGGGGGGAGCAGTACTGGGTTCCTGGCAGAGACCCTGGTTGTAGTGTAATCACATCAAAGCTCCAGTTCAGCATTCCTGCTCCTCTCCCCAGAGCCTCCCTCTTACTTCTTCTGTGCCAGACAAATAAAAAACAAACACACCCCCTGTTGTTGTGGCACAGCACATACTGTTCAGTTCTCCTCTCTGGACGGTATCCCAGTCATCCTGTTGTTCTTTGATTTCCATGAGCAGGCACCAGCAATGTCTCCTTCATCCTAGCCCTGAGATTTTAGAAAGTGCCATAGTCAAGGCTCTTTCAGAGTCAGGAGAATGAGACCCATCATTGTTATTGGTTTTTGGCATATGAGTACGCCACAGGGAGTTTGCCAAACTCTGCCGTGTGGGCAGGATACTTTCCGTAGCCTGCCGGGTTCTCCAGAGTAAGAACTATATAATAAAATGTTCTAGTGGAGTCACAGAGTCACAGTCCTCCCATTGTTCATCAATTTGTTCGAGCGGGCCCAGTAACATCTCCATTGTGAGACTTGTTGTTACTGTGTTTGGCATATTGAATACCTCACGGGTAGCTTGCCAGGCTTTGCTGTGTGGGCAAGATACTCTCGGTAGCTTGCCGGGCTCTCCGAGAGGGGCAGAGGAATCGAACTCGGGTCGGCCATGTTGACTGCATGCAAGGCAAATGCCCTACCTCTGTGCTGTTGCTCTATCTCAAAGATGTTCTAGTAAGAACTAGATAATAAAATGTCCTCTCTGGGCGACCAAGATCACGATCATCCTGTTGTTCTTCAATTGCCTCAAGCAGGCACCAGTAACGTCTCCTTCGTTCTAGCCCTGAGATTATATAAAGTGCCACATTCAAGGCTCTTTCAGGGTTAGGAGAATGAGACCCATCATTGTTACTGGTATTTGGTATATTGGGTATGCCACGGGGAGTTTGCCAGACTCTCCACGTGGGCAGGCCTGCCAGGTTGTCAAAGCAAGAATGAGATAATAAGATGTCGCACAGCCACAAATGCAGCCACACGTTTCTGGGAGCTGGGTTTTATAGTCTCTGGGTCTTAGCCATTGATGGGATTACACGGTGCCAGGGGCAGTTGGTGAGTATGACCCCCGCCTACTGGAAGATGGAGGATCTGGGTGGAGGATGCTCAGCCCCAACCTGAGTAGGCTTGGAGATCTCAGCCCGCATGTGGGTCCCTCTCTGGATATAGAATAGAAATTCTATCTCTCCCTTTAGTTGTTCTTCTGATGTCCAAGGTCACAGAGTGGTCACAGTGTGCCAGAGACGATGCTTATGGTAGTCCCTTTGAGGTGGAAATAGCATCTGAATTTAGCAGAATCTGGGGATAAAACTACTGAACAGCTCACAGACTCACAAGATGTGGTGTCAGGAGAAGTCTGGGGTGTGGCTACTGAGAGCGTGGAACAGCCACACGTAGAGGCCAGTCGTGGGGCTCCATGAGGCCACAAGCAGAGTGACAATCATAACCTTTGAGGCAAAAGGTAGAATTTTAAATTCAACCATCAAAAAAAAAATTCACCTCAAATCTAGAAAATGTAGTTTTCATTTAAAATGGAAGAGAAGGCTGAGAAGGCACCACAGGGCCGGGGCTGGGGCAACCCCTCCATGCCTCTCTCTCTCACAGGTCAGGCCTGGATCCACCTGCACTGTCTTCGGCCTGAGTGGGGTGGGCCTCTCGGTCATCATGGGCTGCAAGTTGGGCAGCGCGTCCAAGATCATCAGGATCAACCTCAAAAAGATCAAGTTTGACAAGGCCATGGGGCATGGGGGCCATGGGGGCCACGGAGTGCATCAGCCCCAAGGACTTGCCCCGAGCAGTCAGCGAGGTGCCGTCGGAGATGACCGACAACAGCGTGGACTACAGCTTCGAGGTCATCGAGCGCCTGGACACCATGGTGAGAGGCCATCGGGCAGCTAACAGCCTGTCCCCACCCCAGCAAGGGCAGGCCCTTGGTATCCCACGGTGACCTACCTGGGCGCCCACCACAGCCCCCCTTGCCCCTCCTCCTCACACACAGCCCCCACCATGGCACCTCAGTGGGCATCTTCCTGTGGAGGGACTGGGACACAGCTGAGGAGGGCGGGGAAGTGGGATCACTCTCCACCCCACCCACGTCTCAGTCAAATTTCTTCTTCACACTACAGTTAGGTTGGCCCAGTTAGTAGAGTTGATTCCGCTCAGTTGAGGTGACTGGGCTGCAAACCTCACAGTCTGCCGTGGTGGCCAGTCTGACTCGGGTCTGCCGGGACCTGGTGCCTTCAGCTTTCTCACTTAGCTGGGCACCCTATGAATGAGCTTGTTGATGTCTGAGTCCTGACTGGGGAACTGGACTCACTTGGAACTCTGAAGGGCTGGGGGGAGGGAGCAGGGGAGGGGCTGGGAGGGAGGGGGCAGAGGAGCTGCTGGGAGGGAGGGGGCACTGGAGGACTGGGAAGGGGAGATGGGTTAGGAAGGAGGGGGCAGGGGAGGGGCTGGGAGGGAGGGTGCGAGGGTGGGGCCGGGATGGAGCAGGGGAGGGCTGGGAGTGGGGACGGGGCAGGGCTGGGGGAAGTGCATCCTCAGCCCAGGGCAGGGGAGGGACTGGGAGGGATGGGGCAGGGGAGGGGCTGGGAGGGAGCAGGGGAGGAACTGGGAGGGAGGGAGCAGGGGAGTGGCTGGGAGGGAGGGGGCATTGGAGGGCTGGAAGGGAGGGGGCAGGAGAGGGCTAGGAAGGAAGGTGCAGGAGGGGCTGGGAGGGAAGAATCAGGGGAGGGGTGAGGACGGGGGAGGGGAGGCTGGGGAAGGGGCCGGGGAGGGCTGGAGGGAGGGGGAGGGTCTGGGAATGAAAAGGGGTGCTCAAGGGAGGGGCTGGAGAGAGCAGGGAGGGG